CCTTTCTCGCGCTCGTGACTAGATCCGCGCACGTAGAGAACACGACCACGTTCTTTCTACGGCCGGGGAATCGCAAAAAGCGTGTCCGTGTTCCGCGTTCCCCCTCATCGTGAACATCGAACGCTGATTGCTGACGTACCCTTGGACGAGGATCGAGTCATTGCTTCGCTACGGGGATTCTGAATCGCGTGTCAGCGGATGGAGGTCAGGTGAGGTGCGGGAAGGTTTTCCTGTGGGAAATTTCACTGGTTTGGTTATAATTTTGGGAGATAGGAATTGAGATTTGGAAATTTGGGTATGGAGAGCTTGAAATTATCATTTGAGAGCTCTTGAATTTTTCAAATTCCGATTGACAGATGGGAGTCCTGATATTGTGAGCTTGGAAGAGTTGAATTGCAGTAATAATTCAGGGTGCGTGAATTTCTAGGTTTTCCTGATTTTAATTCATTTACAATTAACCTAAAAGTTTGAAACTCAACGTCGTCAGAGTGACCAGTTTAGGGTTCTCAAGATTAGAATTCTGGACCTGGAAATCTCTCGATACTATTTTCCTAGAACGATCACTTAAAAGGTGGTAGCACAAACATAGCCTACCCTGACCTAAAAATCTCAACACTCCCAGTATTACCACTTCGAAATATTCAAAATGAATTCAAACCCAACCTACAATCCTAAAAATTCAAATCTCCCGAGAACGATCGATCCAAGGCCCTCAATATTAGCGTAAACATCTGTAGCATGAACCTAACCAAAGTGCCCTGACATCGTGACCGTGGAACTACCGTTCCACGATTCCCAACTACGCAGGAATTTACAGTAAACATTGTCAGTATGAACTTTCTTATCTCCCAGCTAATTGCTCTCCCATCCGAGAGATTGAAAATAATAAAACGACGGCTGTTTCTCGGAACGAGTCCGCCTGTTTCCCACCTTATCGAGCGATCTACCAAGCGGGGGCATTCGTTTCGCGTTCCCGCGGCCGTGGAACTCGCATGAAGTGGCACTCGACGTGCTTCCTTCGTCACCGAGTGTCGCGGTAGAGTTCTCTCTGCCGATCGATAGAAAAGCAACCAGGACCGTGTGTCTTTGGAAGAGAGAGAGAGAGAGAGATAGCGGTATTCTCTCTTCTCCTCTCTGCGTCGATTACTTTTTTCCCCCTTCTGCGAGAGATTAGAGGCGGAGCTTCTTCACTCACCTTCGCCGGATGTGAAGGGGCGCACCAGGCCCGGCAACAGCACGCAGAATAACAGGAACAGGGAGCACGATTTCGGCCTCATCGCGTACGTGTCACCGTCGCGCGGGTCATTCGTTCATCTTACGACCAAGACGAGAGAATTGTAGGAAACGGCGACACTGTACGTTGCACTAGCACTAGGGAATCCTTTTTGTTGACGTTAGACTGCACCTGAAACGCGAAGGCAGATGGTTGAATTAATATTTTGCCAGCTTAGAATTTGGGAATGAGGGATTTTTGGGTGAAAGATGGGATTTTCGGAATGGATGGGAAGCTTCTTAATATAATAGTTTGGCTGTTGAGAAAGTTTTTTAATATTTGGAAATTTATATATTTGGAAAGTTTGCGATCACTGTGCGTTGCAAGCTATGCAATGCCTTTATATTTAACCCTTTACTGTCGGATGTTTAATCCTTTCGCTAGTGAGACAATTGATCGTTGAGGTGTGTTGTCGATAGAAAGTTTTTGAGATCACTGTGCATTGCAAGCTACGCAAGAATTTTTAGAAAGAAAGCTTCAACCCTTTACCGTTGGAAATTTAACCCTTTGGCGATCGAAATTTTCGCACAGCTAACGATATTCCTCCAGTTAATTTTCACAGTAAGAAAACCAACGAACGAAATTTTTGCACGCTAATAAAAGATAGAATCCTCGACGTTAATAGAAAAATTAATTTACTGGAAATATCTTAGCTCCCGACCTCAAAGGGTTAGCAAACTTTAAACGAATTTTTCATCCCCCCGATCTCAGCAAGATTAATTGCAGATCCATGAAAAATTGATAACAGGGTGCAATTTAATATGAATTTTCAAGTGGTTTGAAACTTTTGGCCGCACGGTGTGCATTAGAGAAGTTGTATTGCTCTTTTATCCTCTCGCAGTTGAAAGGTTAACACTGGAAGTTTAGGAAAATAAACCGGCAGCATTGTGTCTTTCTAACAACGCTAGGAAGTAAACGCGATTGTTTCTAAGTGAATGAATAAAGTAGCATGCTCCGTTATACGTTTCCGTGGAATGTTTGAGAAGCGTGCTGCGCGCCTCTACGTACGAGGGAAGGGATTAATGTTGCATGAACCGGCTTGTGCAACACCGTAGTTCGTCGGTCATGATTAATTAAGGTAAGTGAGCCGGCAACTTTTTCGCGAATGTACACCGAGGAATGTATGAAAAGTGACTTGCACGTGGTCCCAGGCTAGAATTTTCACCGCGTTTACACGAACTGAACAGAAACTCGAGAAGAAACTTCTATTTCCGAATATAATCAGATACCAGGAATACCAGTCTTTACACACTGGTCTTTCCTCGGTACACACACTTCCACCGTGTTATTAATTCATCCTCCCTCGAGAAAAACTCGCGACATTCAGAATTCGCCAAAAAGAAAAGGAAGAAAAATTCTCGCTGAAGAATAGCACAATAGTAGATATGTCTCGAGTACTCTTAAAATTCACGAGCCTCGGTTCTCTCCAACCAACCGCGTAAATTCGAACTCTCGCGTCCTTGAGTATCTTAAAATACACATCCACCCTCCGTAGGATATCGAAAAAAAAAACAAAAAAAAATAGAAAAAAAGACTGGGAGACTCGAGAGAGAGAGAGAGAGAAATTAACGGTTTCCAGCGGATTCGGTGAAAGGTACGTTTTTAAACCCCTCGTTTCTTGGGGTGCGTTTTCACCGAAAATACGCTTCGAAGCGGTGATCTTCTCTGTGGAAGAGAAAGAAGAAAAAAGAGATGGAAAGTTGCCGGTGGCACGCGATGGAGGGCGGAAGCGACATCGACGCGGATTGAACGTTCCTCGTTTGGGGGAGGGAACCACCGCCACGACCCCGTTGTTTCTACCGGAAAACGTAAAAGACGGTTAGGAGAGGCGAGAGTGCCACTTAGGTGCCTGCTGGCAACCCTTGCCATTTAAATATTCCACCGCCCGCACTTTCCCGCACGCGAAATTTCCTCGTGGCGCCTTGGTTCGACCGACAGATTCCTACTCTCCTCGCCCCTTTCCTTCCCTTCCAATTCCAAGCCTATTCTTCGTGGCCAATTCTCTGCTCGATAACCGGGGACCGTTAATAATTAACGACGATCCGTCTAGTGGAAATGGAAAGATACGACTCGTTTTCTGATACCGTGATGTATTATTCGCTCGTTCGTAAATTAAACAGGGAATATAGACAGTGGGAATTGGAGAGTGGATCAGTGGAAATTATCAGAGATGTTTCTGGGAATTACTGAAGTAGAGGAGCGAAGTTTGGAATTGAAGGTATTCGATGTTAGGGTGTGTTGAACGTGTGGAAGGAGTTTAGTTAAGTCTGGGTATATGTAGTACTCGAGTAAGTGTTAAACAGGGAAATTTCGAAGGGTGGAGAAATTAGCGAATATGAAGAACCAAATGAAACAGTGATATGAGAAGTTTCGTTGAAGTCTCGGCACTGCACTGTGCTTAATTGATACTTAAATACCGAAATTCGTATAAAAATCAGCGAATATGGATAGTATGCAGGGAGGACCGATAAAAATTTGCATCTTGAATATCTCGGAAATTATTGATTTGGACGAAATTATAGAAATGTGAAATAAATGTAGAAAAATAAAATTACAGGAAAGCAAAATTATGGAAAAGTAAAATAAATACAGAAAATATCTATCGCACAGTAGTGTCTTTATTTTCGCAGATGAAGTAATTCGCAAGAATTTCAGCAAAGCACAGAGCACGATTAACCGTTAAAAAACGAAAACGAAGAGAGACCCTCTCTCGAGGGATACAGAATCAAGATTCGATTGCTCCAGTTACACGGGGGCTCATTCTATGCAAAATATCGGCGTCTAACTAGAATCGAAAGGGGTCTCTCGGTTTAATTAAAGTCCAGATGAAACTTTACTGCCGGCGATAAAGCGGTGCACACGGTGGAGAGTCGTTCGATGTGTGGAACTAGTTTCGCGAGTATGTTCGTTGAGCCGGGAACTCGAAGGAAATCCACGGAAACAAATGCACGAACGAGAGAGGTATACACATTCACGTGGACTCGTGCTACCTCTATCGGCGGATTGAAACGCGACGGGAGGATCGTTTGTCAATGTCGTCCTTCGAGATCCTTTGTTAGCCTTGCGGCACGCGTTTGTTCGAAATCGAGAGTGGCTTGATCCTTTCGACGATTCTCTTCTCCATTGAAGAATAATAAATCGGTAGATTTCGCGGAGACTTAGATCGGCTAATTTTCTATCCTACCGTTTATTTTCCAATTTTTTAATAGTAACTTAGTGAGAATTGTATGGACACGAAAAGCACTCGAGAAAATTTCAGCGAAGTAATCGAAATTCCTATTGAACAGTTGTAAAATAGTAAGACATTCAGTGTTACATTATCGTAAATAATTTGTGATTCTGTAATTAATAATTTTTCATCTGAAAATTAAGTACAAATAAGAATTCAATATCCAACAAAAAAGTACCAGTATCATTGTCGAATAAATCGAGGAATAATTCACCAAAAAATGAGGTAGAAATCACAATTCACTGCTCCATCGAAATAAAAACCCACTAAGAAACATCCACCGTCCCTCTCCTTTTATTTCCTCTTCTGAAAAAGCCGCAACATGAATGAAATCCATTCCAATATCACTGAATGAAGACTAATCCCCCCTGAAAACAGGAATTCCCCTACCACAAAACCACCCCTTCACCGAAACATATCGAAATTCCGTGTCGACGCGCGAACCCATCCCTCCCCCCAGTTCCACCTCGAACCTCTCTCCGGCTCTGTAACCCCTGCTGCTGATGATCAGTATGAAATCCCGGCGTCGTGCAGAAATCGATAGCCAGGTCGTTATCTCCGAGGAAAGTCGATGAAACCGCATGAGAAGCACGAGGAACATCGGGCAGAGGAACGTTCATTGGGTGAAGGTAGACGACACGGGGTGAGAAACGGAGATTCATGACGCGGAATAATCCAGAGGACGAGAGGAGAGGCCATGGAACGCGCATTATGCGAGCCGGTATCGGGCGATCCCTACACAGATTTCCCATCGAGCGTGGCGAGAGAGAGAGGGCCACAGGCCGGTCTCTAATCCTCCAGGACGAGGACTCAATTTATAAACGTGCCCGGTATTACCACTCAAAGGCTTAAAACACTCGACACCGAGCAGACGTCGTGGTACCTCGCTAGAGCGCGTGCACAGGGACGACGAACACATGGCATTTCACACTGCAATTGCCACGAATGCTTCTCTCTCCCTCTCTCTCTCTTTCTGTTCCTGTAGTCGCACGCCACTATGGGGGATAAGCGCGAGAACTCGAGTGCTATTCACTCGGCTGGCTGCTCCAGGAAAGCTCTCTTTCTTTTCACCGGGACCTGTTTCCAGGGGTCTTCTTCGCCACTTTACAAGCTTGCCCGCTCCTTTCGAGGCCGACACCCATGTGTCTCCTCATCCTTTTTGTGTGTATAACGCGTCTTTGGAGGAGAAGAAAGTTCGCGGTGCTCCTACTGTCCTACGCAGAGAAGACGACGAGCGGGAGGAACAAGGATCTCGTTGGTTGCAGCGGACACACTCGCGAAGTCAGATCACACGCGTTTTTAAGTCACGTCTGCTAATCCGCGAAAAAAGCTTTCCTTGCCTCTGTGCCGTCCCGCTCGTCATCATCTGCGCGCCGGAGTGTACTTGAGCGATGGAAGGTGAACGCGGGAGACCGCGAGGCTCGAAAGCGGTTTAAAGCTTGGAAGGGCAACCTGGGTATCGCGTGACAACAGGTAGGGGGAATCAACGGGGCCGGATTCCCCGGAGTATTCAGATGCTACCGGTTTGCCAGCCAGCTTCCCTTCGATGTTTCTATTCCGCCTCGGCGCGGCTCTCGAACAGAAGCGGGTTCCCGAGGAACGCAACCAGATACACAAGTCTTATGTATGAGGATATAGGAGGATGGATGTTAGCTTCTTTTTTTTCGTGCCTGGGATTCGTTATTGATTGTTCGCGTCTCGCGAGAACCCGCGAAATTTCCTCGGTTCTCCCGGGAGAGAGCGGATTCTATTAGGGTTGTGGCTCTGGCTCGATG